AAGCAAAAAACAGGACAGAAAAAAAACCCCAAAACAACCAAGAACCAAAGGGAGTCTGTTCAGAAGCAGCATTGAGTCAGGCCTGAGGTCAAGCAGCTGGAAAAGGGCCACCACAAACAGCACGAGATGAGCTGGTCCCACGCGTTACTGGACGGGAAGGGGACGACCCCGAGAGCAGAGACGGACGGATGGACAGACGGCCACGAGGACAGACAGGTACACACACACACACACAAACACACACACACAGGCGGAGGGGAGAGGGGGGAAAGGCAGGGGGGGACAAGAAGGGCAGTGTTAGACCGGGCACAGCACCTGCCAGAGCCTTGGTGGCCCCGGGGTGACGGTGCCCACCCTGTCCTGCACGGCCAGGACCCAACCCCACTCCTCCTAAAGCTGGTCCAGGGCTCCAGGAGGGAATGATGCTCATAAACCCTCATGGAACGGGGAGAGGGAGCCTCCAGCCCTGGCCTGCTGGGCAGGGCCGACATGGAAAATTCCTGCACAAGGAGGGCAGTGAGGACAAAAGTGACCTGGGAAACTCGTGCTCTGGTCACCCCAGAGAGGGCACTGGGAGGTGCCAGGGGCCGGGTGACCGACAGTGCCCCAAGGCTGGGGACAAGGAGGACCAGGGTGACACTGAACAGCCAGGCCTGGCTGGGGTGTGGCTTCCAGGGAAGGGGATTTGGTGGCCTCCCTGAGATGTCCAGGGCCAGGAGATGCTTCCCAGCCCCTTGGAGCTCCCAGCACAGCCCTTTTTGGCCGGTGTTTCTCCAGGGTGCAGCCCTGGACAGGGGGCAGAGGGAACCCTCTGCCTCCCCCTGATTCTGCAGGGTGTGGAAACCCACGTGCACCCCCATATGCCAGGGGGGACTGGCAGGGAGACCCCGACCTCGAGGATGGACCCTCCCTGGGGATGTCTTGCCACTGTGAAGGACCCAGGGGATGGAACAGCCAAGGGTGGGATTGAGCCCTCTTGCCAGAGCCAAAGGAGGTGCAAGATGCCCATGCAACGTTTGCCCAAATTGCATGAAATCCACCCCAATCCTGCTCCAAGTAGCTGGTAAAAAAACCTCTCGTTTATCCAACAGGGTTTATGGATCCAACAGAATGAGCAGAATTGGGTTTATTGGATGGGGTTTTTTTGGATGCCAGGCCCCTGGAAGGGGCTCAAGACACAGAGCAGGGAGTGCTGGGGGAGAGGAGAGGGTGAGCCCACTCGTGCTGCCCACTGAGGGGAAAGGGGGTGTTGGGAGGGGGGGAGAAGAGGTGAGGAGGGAGGGAGGGCACTGAACTGGCCGTGGTCCCCTTGCCCGTGGCCTGAGCAAGCTGGGAGTCCATGGCCAGCCCTGGGGGGTCAGCAAGGACAGAGCAGGAGCTGCCCCTGGGGATGGGGGGGAGCTGGGTGGGGGGGACACTCCTTCCCATCCCAAAATGCTTCTCTTCCAGCTGCTGTGGCCCACTCACACCCGCCCCTACACACTGCCAGGCACCCCAAATACCATCACCCTGCCTGTGACCCCCCTCCCAGGATCAGCTGCTTCTGTGGACGCGGCGCCGCGGAGGGTCCCGGCTCCCCAAAACCTCCCAGGACAGGCTGGGCAGTCCCAGCCCTGGTAAGTGAATCCCCTTTGGAGTCCCTGTGCCAAGCACACGGCTCTGCCACACTCATCTCCGTGGCCAAGGAGCTCTCGGGGTCCCCCAGGGCGAGGGGGCCAATGCTGGGGCTCAGCCCTTCCAGCGGGGACAATTGACTCCAGCTGCATCCTCACACCACGCTGGGGGTGTTTGTCACGCTCAGCAGGAAGTCAGGTCCCTGTCCCCAACAGCCAGGGTGGGCACAGGCACCCCAACAGCCACATCCCTGTGCCCCCCCAGCCCCACCAGGCTCAGTCAGGGCGAAGGAGGCACCGAGACAGCCGGGTCTCCAAAATCCATCACCCTCAGGGTCTCCCGTGCCCCTCACCCACACTCAGCCGTGGGCAGTAGGGATGGACTACCTGCTGCTGGCCCTGGATCCGCATGTACTCCATCCGCTGCTTTATGTGCTTGCTCTTGTCGGGGCTGCCCTGCTGGCTCTGCTTCAGCCGCGACGCCGGGTTCACCACCTTCATGGCCGGGATGGACACGCCACCGCTCTGCCGGGACAGACAATTGGGGGGGAAGGGGTCAAAACCGGCAGGTGAAGCCCCCACCGGCACCGCTGGCAGCTTGCTTGGCACGGGACGCCCGGAGCTGCGCCAAGCCCCCCCGCGGCACCACCGGGATGTCCCTGCCTGGGGCGGCAAAGCCAGGCCGGGACGAGGTCACCGGCTCCTCGTGCCACGGGAGCTCTCGTGGGAGGGCTGCCAAACCACCCAGGACTTACCAGGAGGCACCAAAGAGGGACAGACACGGCAAACACCGGGAGACCGAGGGCAGGAGGAGGGCACCCCGCCAGGGCAGAGGTGCACGGCCAAGAGAGGGGGAAAGAGGCGACGGCAGGCAGAAGCAGATTCCAGGTGGGAACGGCGGCAGTGGGAGTACAGAGGTGTTTATTAACTGGCTGTGCACAGGTGGAGACACAAAGTCTTGCAAGAGCAGCAGTGAGGGATGTGGTACCTGGGCACACCCCCTCCCCACCCCAAAGCGGTGCCTCGCGTGTCCCCCCCATGCCTGGGGCACCCCACATCCTCTCCCTGCCATCACCGCGGCCTCCTGCCTAACAACAAGAGAGCCAACAGGTCACCTGTGATCCTCAGGGAGGGCTCACAGGGATCCCTGCACCCCACAGCACAAGGAAATCCCAGGATCACGGAATATCCTGAGCTGGAAGGGACCCCACGAGGATCACTGAGCTCCAGCTCCCGGCCCTGCACAGCACACTCTGACAATCCCACGTGTGCCCAGCAGGCACTGGGAACCTTCCCAACCAACACAGCATCCTTGGAAGGGGACACACCACCTGCCCTCTCCCTCCCTGCTTTAGGACAGGCTCAGGGCAGCCTCTCCAGCCTAACCCCGAGCTTTGCTCTGTGCACGTGTCAGCCGCAGCCACGAATCCATCCCGCAGCTTCCACTCCTATTTTCCCAGGCTCCAGAGGTGCAGCAGGAGCCAACAGCAGGGAAAACTGCAGCTACACCCACTTGCCAGCCCATTCACCCAGCGAGAACACCCCAGCGGGGCCCAGCACTGCTGGGAACCAACGGCTCCGAACGGGAAAGGAGATTTATTCCCCAGTGCTGACTGTTAATAAAGGAGCAGGTTGATGTCAGAGCACCTCGGGGCATTTTTCCCCCCCCTCCTCTCCCTCTCTTTTCCCAGCTATTCAGCTGGATTCCAGCAGAAAGCAATTTGGATGGCTTCAGGGAGCCCGCACTGTGATTTAATTAGGAGAAACATCTGCCAGGCTCCAACTGCAGCTCATTAGGAAAGCGTTTATGCAAAATGGTGAAACGAAGGACGAGGCTTCGCCACCCAGAGCACCCGGCCCTCGCTGCATCCCACGGGACGCTCAATCACGGACCCCGTGGGATGCTAATCATGGATCACATGGAATGCTCATTGTGCACGCCCTGCTCATCACCAGCACCACGCTCAGCCCCAAAACCTGCTGGGACAGAGCACACCACCTTATCCAGGGTCTGATTCTGGATGGGACCCAGCGGCGCTGCCTGGGACCATCTCCCTTCCTGCTGCCGACTCCTCCCTCAGCTCAATTTTTGCAATTCCCAAACCCCTCCAGGTGACAGGGAGGAAAGGAGGTCGGTTTTCCACCTTGGCTCTGCCTGGAGGTAGAGTCACAGAGAGGGAGCAGGTAGAGGTGGAGGAAGAGACATCAGAGTGAGTCCAGGGCAGAGCACGGCAAGAGGGATAATAGAAAATAAACCTGCGGAATGCCGGGGGGCAGCTGCGGCTTGGGGAGCAGCGGTGGCTTGGTCTTGCTGGGGGATGGGCTCCTGGGAGCATCATCTTTGGCCTGACTGAGGTCCAGCACAGTCCCATCATCACAGCTCCTCTGCTTGAGGTCCCCCAGACCCTTCCCGGTGTCCTCGCCATCCTCCTTGGGTCCCGCTTGTCCCAGCAGGTCTTGAGGGAACACAGACCCCACCGAGGGGTGGCTGCTGATCTCACTGATGGTCATCTCCAGCTCACGGATGGTCTCTTCCAGGCTGTCCAGCCTCTGGTAGGTGTCTTCATAAACCTCCTTGCTGCCCGGCGTGGCGGGGCGGTGAGGGGACGGCGGCCCTTGGCAGAGCCCCTCCGGCACCTTCCTCCCCATTCCGGTGTCCCCCCCGGCAGCTGGAGCCCCTCCAGCCCATCCTGGAGCTGCTGTGCCATGGCCTGGCCTTGGGCACGCGGTGACCTGCGCCGGGGGATGCTCAGCCAGGGCTGGGCCCTTTCCCCCGCCCGGGAAAGCTCCAGGATTTGGCACCAGGCAGGCTGGGGCTGGTTTGGAAGCCCCAGTAGAGCCTCCGGGAGGGAGCGGTGCCTCCTGCACGCTCTGCCTGGCTCCTCCTTGGGGGTGCCCATCACTGGGAGTTTGGGGGACGATGCCACCGGTGGAGGGAATTGCGGCCCCTCCAACTCCGGCACCCGCGGCTTCCCCCCGGAGGGGCTGAGGAGGCTGTGCAGCCACTTGGTGACAAGTCTTGCCACTGCCCTCTCTCCTGCTGGCAGCGTTCAGAGCCGTGTCCCCTCCTTGTCCCCCCGTGGGGTGGCTCGTTTTATCCCCTGGGAAAGAGAACCCCCAGATCTCTCCTGCTGCACGAGCACCACCCCGGGATGAGCTGCTGGGGGGCTGCGGGGCCGCAGCCGGAGGGTGCCCGTGTGCCAACAGAGACTTCCTGGGGCTGCCAGGAGCCACAGGGCCTTTCCTTGCCCCCTTGGGTGCAAACTCCCCTCCTGCTCCTGCGCTGCCCGTTTCCACCCACACCTCCGGCTCGGCTTCGGGGGACGGCGGCTCCGACACCCACTCGGTGAGCACAATCTGTGGGAGGGAGAAAGCCCGGCTCCCCGGGACCGCCAGGGCCAGCGGCTCCTAGGTAGAGAATTCAGACAGATTAGGAGCCAGTGGGGGGAGCAGGAGGTGCTGGTGTGTCCCCAGACACCACTGGAGTCCTCCGGTGCCTCCGGGCATCGCTGCAGGGAGCGGATGCTCCTCTCCCTCCTGCCCAGCCCTGATGTCCCATCAGCACACACAGCACAGACTGGGACTGGTGTTATTGTGCTTAAGGCACGCTGGGGCTTGGCAGATTTTGGCAATGAACTGCCTGGAGTTTAACCAGCAAAAAAAATGAGTTGGCGTTGCCGCACCTCCCGGATGCCTTGGGAAATCCGACTGCCAACCGTCCAGCTTGGATTTCTCCGTGCTGGTGTAAACTGGCACAGCACTGGTGCCAAGAGCAGAGCCCAGCTCCTGGCAGAGCTTCAGCAGGGGATGAGCCATCACAAACGAGCTGCCGAGGGGCAGCCGGCCTTTAAAACCCTGAGCAGTGAGAAGTCAGGTGGAAAACGCTGCTCTTCCTCCCCCACCTCCCTGTTCCCATCCCAAGGGAGATCCAATGAGCTGTGCAGTGCCTGGGGAGCCAGAGCCAGCTGTGCCCTCCACAGAGCTGAGGGCAGGGGAGCTGGAGAGATGCCCTGGCAGAAGAGGTGCCCCTGCAGCTGCCCCCCAGCCTGGGGCAGAGAGGGAAGGAAACCCCCATGCTGGGATGGCCACAGAGCTCTGGGTCTGGAGCTGGACACATCTGAGCCTGTCCTGGCACACAGGGACAGATGGACAACTCAGCCCTGGTGTCCCAGGAGAGGGGAGGGACCCAGGGCCAGGCCCAAGCAGAGACCCCCAGCCCTTCACCTTCTGCCCTCATCATGCACAGGGAGCAGCGCCCACCAGTGACACCCCCTGGGCGCCCAGTGCAGGGTGAGAGCAGCCAGCCCTCCCTGTGCCATGCCCAGAGTGGTGCTGGGGTGGCCCTTTCCTTCCTCCCACCCGGACCTGGCCCTCACAGGAACCACAGGGCCGTCGGGTGGGTTAGTGCTGGGTCCTGCGCCGTGTCAGTGCCGGCCACGCACAGACGGTGAGCGAGGGAGTGGAGAGAAGCCATTAGTTTGTTAAACCAGAGCAGCAGTGAGTTAAAGAGAGGCAGGAGAGCAGGTGGTGAAAGTGCAGCCCCGTTACCTTCCATCCTTGGGCTGCAACGGAGGCTCCGTTGGGCCACAGCTCTGCCAGCCCGGGGGAGACGGCCACGAGCGCCTCGTGACGCAGCTTGGGGAGGAAAGGGCAGGCAGAGCTTCTCTGAAACACCTGGGGAGTCAAACACGGGCGGTTGGAGGAGGGAGGCCTGGGGTGAGGAGGGATGGTCACACCACGGCGGGGGCTTGGCGGCAAGGGAAAGAAACCTTGGCTGTTATCAGGTGCAGGGGCAGCCTCGTCCCCTCTGCTGCTGGCAGCGTCACTGCTCCCCAGGCCTGCAGCACCACCGGTCCTGCCTGCAGCATCACAGGTCCAGTCCCTCTGCCTGCACCATCACCACTTCTCCTGCCTCAGCGGGGAAAACCCGCCAAGGAAAAGCCATCCATGACCCACTTGGGCACCTCCACGGCAGCAAACAGGGGCAGGAGGAGGGGCACAGCCAGCCGGGGGGGTGCAGAGCCTGAGGGGGGTATTTCAGTTGGCACCCGTGCAGTGCCCTGTGCACAAAAGCCCACGAACCTCTGGCTGCAGCCCTGGAGTGTTAAAAACCAAACGAGCTCGGCTTAAAGCCCGAGATGGGGTGGAAGTACTGAAGAGAGAGGGTGACACCATGTGCAGCACCTGGACCCAGCGAGGGGTCCGTCCCTCTCTGTCCCTGCAGCACCACGTTCCTGACAGGCGAGGACTGGGAATCCCACTGCGGTGCCCACCTCACACCCCACACCCCACACCCCACCCCGAGGTGCTCCCTGAGCTGGGTACAGCCCCCCAGGAGCAGGCAGAGCAGGGTGGGCACCCCCTGCGGGGCGGGTGAGCTGGGGGTCCCGCACCCCCTCCCCGCGCCCACCTCCAGCTCGGCGATGATCCGATCCTCGTCGTCGTCATCCTTGATGGCCGAGGCGATGATGGGCGGGGTGGAGGCCGGCCTGACCACCTCGGACACCGTCCTCCTCAGCTTCACCTGCGGCTTCTGCGTCTCCAGCTCCTCCGACTCGGCCTTCTGCCAGCGGGGAGCAGGGCGGTGAGGGGCGGGGGGCACCGGGAGCCGGGGCTGGTCCTGCTGGGGGTGAGCGGCTCGGCCCCAGCCCAGCAGCCCCCCCACACCCCATGGGCCCTACCTTCATAAACCCGGGCTCCTTCTTGCTGGTGACGATGACCTCGCCGCTGCGGGTGGTGGTCAGCCCGTGGGACGAGGGGAAGCTCCGGCGTGGAGGGGGGGGCGGTGGGGATTTGGAGGGTTTCTCGGTCCGGTACCGCGGCACCGTCAGCTCGTCTGGGCACAAACGGTGCTGTGAGGGCACGAGACCTTTCCCTGCCCCTCTCATACAACACCCCCCGGCTCTGCCCGGGGCACAGACCTCCCCTCGGGGCAGCACGGACCAGCCCAGGGCCCCTGGGGCACCACCACCACCCCCCAGCCCCCCGTGCAGGGGTGACCCCAGGCCGTACCTGAGCCCCTGCGGCCGTTGGGGTCCCCTTTGCCCCCCGATTTGGGCGCGTGTTGCGGCTTGGAGGGTTTGTGCTCGGGGGTGGAGGCGGCGCTGCCGCTGCCCGGGGCTTGTTTGTGCTTGGCAGCGAATTCCAGGTCGGGGATGGCCTTCATGAGCTCGGCCTGCGTCTCCTCCAGCAGCCGGTTGATGTCCTTGGCACTGTACTGGGTCAGCGCTGCCCGTTTCTCCTCCCAGTCCCGCTCTGCTGCCTGTGGACGGCAGGCAGAGCCCCCTCCAGTCCCCTCCACGCTGCAGGATGTGACCCCCAGCCCTGCTGCCAGCCCCCCAACCTGCTGCCAAGCCAGGGAGGAACTGGGGTGCCAGTGCTGCCCCCCATCCCAAGCTGCACAACACCCCCAAGCAATGGGGGAGCTCCCAGTGCTGCATCACCCAGGGCTCCCCCACCCAGCAGCCACCCCTGCGAGGAGCTCCTGTTCCCAGTTTCAGCTGGGAGACACAGACAGACCCTCTAGAAGAGCCCCCTCAGAGCTGAGGACCCCCCCCTCACCTCCACGGACACAGCTTTGTCCGCGCTCTTCTTGCTGGGCGTCTCCGGCCCCGTCTGGGTCTTGGCGGGCACCATCTCTGGGGCTCGGGCAGGGTTATTGCTCTTGGAGGGGTGGCTCTGGGTCTGGGGGGGGCTGTGCCCGAAGCTGGGCATGCCCAGGCTCTCGGTGGCGGCCGTCAGGTGGTGGAGGCTCACGGGGGGGCTGGTGGGCATCTCCAAATCCAGCCCTTTGCTGAAGTCTGTCTCGGGGGCCACCTTCTTGGGGGACTGGCTGAGGTTGCTGGGGGAGGTCCACACGCCCTCGTCCACTTGCCTGCCAGGGGCAGAGTGGAGGCTGCTGGGGGGGGGCTGCATGGCACCAGGAGGGGCCACTGCACCCTCCCCACCTGCCCCCCTGCATTACACGGTGCTCTGATGGGTGGGGAGGGGTCGGGGCTGGTGCTGCAGCCTCGTTTGGGGGAGCCCACGAACGAGAGCCCCTCCACCTGGCTGCCCGTTTTCGTGAGCCTCGTAGGAAACTGGATCTCTCCAAACCCTTCCTCTCCATCAGAGAGGAAAACTGCCCTCTGGATCCAGGAGTTGTTAGGGGCCAGGATGACAGCCAGACAGTTCAGACACTGCAGGATCCTACGGGCTAATTTGTGTGGCAAACCAGGCTAGTGACGAGCCCGAGGCGATCTCGGAGCCAGCGAGCCCTGAGCCATCCCGAAAGGTCTCCTAATGGGAAGAGGCAGGTGGGCTCCACCACGGTGCATGGCCCAGCCTGCCATGGGCATTAGCTCTGGGAGATGGCTGGTTGTTTTTTTTCCTCCAGCAGAGCAATTCCCTGCTCCTCAGGAAAGGGATTTCTGGTCACCCCAAGGGGTTGCCTTTCCTTCCTGGTGTACAGTCCCTCCTTTTTCCAAGTGATGAGAAAAAGAGGGGTTCCCACACAGACCTGGAGAGGACTGAGGGTGGTTTTGAGTTCCTTAGCAAGAAAATGAGCCATTTATCAGCATCCCTTGGATGCCCCTCCTGCCCTGATGGATGAGTTTGGGATTTGGGATCAACGCAGAGGGCACCGACACACATGGGGACACAGGGACAGCCGAGGTGCCCAAGGGGCCGGGGTTTGGGGCTCACCTGCGGATCTGGGTGAGGGTGTCTGTCACTGTCTTGCAGCGTTTCAGGAGCCCATCCAGGCGGTTTGGCTCCTCCTTGAGGAACTTCACAGCTTCCACCTCCACCCGCAGCACCACCCGCATCTTGCTCTGCAGGCTGGGGAACTGGGCTGGGGGGGTGAGATTGGGGGTCACCGCGGCCCCCTTGTGCCAGGGAGACCCTCCCAGTGCCCACCCCACACCCACCAAAAGCGCCATGTCCATCATACGCAGGGCAAGGGCACCCTGCCAGGTTGGAGCAGGAGGGGTGGATCCCGGGCACCCTGGGCTCCCCAGGCCCCTCATCCCTTCTCCATCCACCCACAGGCACCAATTTTAGCCCGGGAAGGTGGCCCCTCCACATCCACGGGCACCAGGACACGCACAGTGCCGATGGCACCGGGATGTCTGCTCCAGGAACGCGGATGGACACACTGGCAGGGGCAAACACTCAAACCCAGAGGCAACGGACATCCTGGAGCATCCCACGGACATCCTGGAGCATCCCACGTGCAGGGATGGAGCAGGGAAACATGGGAAGGCTCTGCTTGCCCCCTCCCCCCCCAGCCCATCCTCACCCTTCAGGTCTGTGAGTGTCTCCCCCAGCTGCTTGAGCACCACCGCCTTCTCCTCCAGCTCCTGCACGGGGATCAGCCGGTGGTTGTGGGCCAGATCCTTCTGGATCTTCTCCACGGACTTCTCCAGGTCACTGCGAGCACAGAAGCAGGGCAGGGGTGTCACTGCTGTGCCACGAACGCTGGAGAACCCCGGGGGTGGCAGAAGGGAGGGGACCACTGTGTTGGGGACCCCTCCTCACGCAGGGACACGTCCTGGCGGCGGGCACAGCCACCGACCTACACCCAGGGAGGACGTGGCCCCTCGAGGGGGGCGGGCAAGGACCCCCTGCCCGGGCTCACTTGAGCTGCTGGGTGATGAGCTCCTCCTCGTTGAGGTAGCGGAGCCGCTCCTCCTCCACCAAGCTGCGCTGGCGCTGCAGAGGGTCCTCGTGCTTGCGCATGGTGTCCGTCACCCGCACGCTGATCTCCGTCTCCGTCCGCCGCAGCATCGTCTTCACCGTCTCCTGGTTCTGCAGCTGTGGGGGGTAGAAAGCGCAGTTCAGGATGGGCAAGGCCCTCCCTGAGGGGTAATGGGCCCCCAAAGGTGCCAGCTGGGCGTGGGGAGGGACCCCTCTGGCTCTCCCACACCGCAGGGTGTTCCCACAACCCCCGGTGCCACCAGCACTGTGCCCCGACCAACAGTGCCAACCTCCCCCCAGCCCCATGGGCAGCCACCTGCCCCAGGTGAGCACAGGAGGAGGGCACGGGCTGTCACTCTTATGAGAACCCCAGGGGGGTGTGGCAGCTCCCCCTGCGCAGCAGGAGGGGGGAAAAGGGGGATTTTCTTGTCACTGGGGCACGAGCTTGTCATAGTTCTGATTTTAGCAAGAAATTTTGTCTTTCCTTTCCCCTTCCCCCTCCTGCGTTTATGTGTTAATGGGCCATCAGATAAACAAAGGAGTTGGCCTGAGCCCTAAATGACCAGACATTAATCTCCTAGCAACCAAGGGGGAGGAATTGGGAAAAGGCCAGGGTGTGTGTATGGAAACAGGTGGGGTTTGGTTGTTGGAGCTCAGCTCTGGAGCCGGAGGGGAGGCTGCAGCAAGCAGGAGAGACTGCCTGGTTTCTCCTTTGTCTTTTCCTGTGGGAGAGGAGTTTTTGCTGCCGTCTCTCTGCGCAGTTGTTTGCTGGTTTCAGGCTTGGTTCACCGCGAGATCTTCACCAACTGAGTCGTGAGTTTTCCTTCCATTGGGAGAACTTTCTGTTTCCCTCCCCCTTCCCCCCTCCTCCATCGCCACCCGGCGGTGACCAGGGATCCCACAGCGCCGCCCGGTGACGGGGGCTGGACATTGCAAGTTCTGCATCTCCAGGGATCCAACAGCGCCCCCTGGTGACTCCTATAGAACATTACAAGTTCTGCACTTTTTGATAACTCAGCAGCGCCACCTGGTGAACGGTATAAGACATTACAAGTTTTGCATCTCCAGTGACCCGACGGCGCCCCCTGCTGACTGTGGCTGGAACTGCACCAAAGGGTGCTAAAAATTGAACTATTTGATTTTCTTTTTGCCGGTTTTATCGGTTTTGTTCTTGAAGGAGATTATTGGTGGGTATAGGGGCATTGCTTGGTTGTTTTACTTGGTTTTTTTTCGTGCTCCTGTTAATAAGCACATACCTTTTAATAAAGGGCTGTTATTTTTTCCCTTTTCCATAATTTGTTTTCCTTCAATCGGAGCCTCTTAATTTCGAATTTATAATTGCTAGAAAAGGAAGTTTGGGTCTTTTTCTCCTAATCCATCCTCAGCAAAAGACCTTTGTCTCATTTAAACTGGGACAGAGCTGAGGACCCCTGGGCTGGGGACCCCCATCCTCCCCCGGGGTACCCACCTGCAGTTTCTTGAGCTGCTGCAGCTGGTTGCGGAGGTCGCTGGCGTTCTGCTGCAAGTCGTGCAGGTGCAGCTGCATGTGCAGGCGGGTGATGGCCGTGGGCTGCCCCGCTGGTGTGCTGGTGGCCGAGGGCGGTGGTGGCGCGGGCACCGGGGTCCCCCCGCTGCGGCTGGTGGCTGCGGGGGGACAAGCAGAGGCTGTTGAAGGGCGATGTCCCACCCCAGGACAGGTTTCAGCCCCCCTTTCTCTTACTTCCCCACCCAGTCCCTCAGTCCTGGTGGTCTCCAAAGCTACCCCCCCTCCTTGCTTGCTCTAAGAGGCCACCCTGGAGCTGCCCCAGAGTGGGATGGTGGGTGGTCCCACTGGTTGCCAACACGTGGGGGGGGTGCAGACCCCACTCCTGCACCTTCCCTGGGACACCCAGCACCCGTGGGCAGGGGAGGGGGTGCTGCAGGGCGAGGGGATTATCTCCAGCCACTTACACGCCGATGGGGGCGTCCCACCGTTGGTGGCTTCTGTCTTCTCGCTGCAACGAGAGAGAGAAGGGGAGTCAGTGGAGAGAGGGAGAGGGACCAGGCACCTCTATCCTCACTGGGTGGAGGCAGGGGCCCCTGGGAGGGGGACAGGACCCCCGGTACTGGCAGCAAACAGCTCAGCTGGAGGCCTCCCCCCACCCCGGGGACCCACAGGTGCCCTCCCGCTCCTCACCTGGGGGTCTCAGCCTCGGAGCCGCGGAGCAGAGCACTCTGCACCAGCCCTGTCAGGCTGGCAATCTGCTTCTCCATGGCCTCCATCCGCTCCCTGCGTGGGGAAAGGGAGAGGGGAGGGGTGAGGAACCAAGGACACCCTGAGGTTTGTCCTGGCCTCGCTCGCATCCACCTGTTCCTCGCAGCCCCAGCAGGGACATCGGCCCCAGCCACATCCACTCGCCCATTCTCTCTCTCTCCTGCCTCCAGCACCCCCAGCCACTCCCCTCTACCCTCACTTGGTGCCTCGTTCCCAGCACCTGCCACAGTGGGGAGGATCCAAAGCTTTCCTTGACTCCTGCTCTACCTCCCCACCCGCCCCGATGGAAACCCAGCGGAGCAGCAAGGCTCGTACCCACGGGGGGCTTCTCCCACGCCCCATCTCACCTCGTTTCCGTGTCCTTGGCGGGCCCTGGGGAGCCAAACCCTGAGAGTGGGCGCTCTCCGGGGCCGGGGAAGAGCTCGGGGGGGCCGGAGGAGCTGGGGTTGCGCGTTTTGCCCACGGGGCTGTCCATGAACACCGAGGAGCAAGAATCCTTGCGGAAGGACTGGCGGACGGGCGAGGAGCGGCTGGGGGGCCCCGAGTAGGGGCTGTGGGGGCTCTGGCCCGGCTGCACATCCACCATCTTCTGCGGGGACGAGGGGGGCATGCGGAAGCCCAGCCCGGGGCCGTAGGTGTCGCCGTAGATGGGCGCGTTGGGCTTGTACAGACCGTCCTCCAGCTCCGACTGCAGCGCGGCCGCCGAGTAGGTGCTGAGGGAGCGCACGGAGCCCCGCTTGTACAGCCCCCCCGAGTAGCCAAAAGGGTCGCCCATGCCCGCCAGGGACTGCGTGGAGGTGATGCTGAGCCGGCCCTCGTGCACCATGCCGTAGGGGTCGGCATAGAGCCCCTCGTTCTTCACCAGCACCACGTTCTTCCCGGCCAGGTCCTCGTCCGGCTTGACGTCGCGGCGCTCCAGGATGGCGCTGGGGCTGGGGGACACGCCCTGGGCGGGCGGCAGGTTGGACAGGCGCTCGCCGTGGTGCACGGGGCTGCCGGCGTAGGAGGGCGGGCGGCCCCCGCTGTAGGACATGCGGGAGCGGGACGGGGACGAGGACTGCAGCACGGGCGGGGGCGACCCCGAGGCCAGGTGGGACGCCGGGGACATGTTGTTGAGCCGGCGGGTGGGAGAGGATTCCCTGGACGTGTACACCATCTCCCTCTGCGAGGAGGGGCAGGGGGTCAGCACCGTGTCCCACTCCCCCTGCCCTGCTCTGCCCCGTTGGGACCCTCCACCCCTCCAAGCACCAACAGCTCTGGGAACAAACACCCCCCTCGTTCCCATCCAGCTGCAGGGTGGTTTGCTCTGCTGATCTCCCCAAACACCGTGTTTCTTACCCCGCTGTCGGGCCCCAAACATCCACTCTCTTAAAGCAACACCTGAAGGCTCTGGATCCAGGCAAGGCGAACCCCAGCCGCCCCTCCTGCCCCAAACACACGGAAATGCCAGTCTCTGTTGCTTTCTTTCTTTCCTGGCCCCACTGCACTGGGTGCAGCCACCCCCCAGGCTCTCCCTGTGCCACCCCGTGCCTCCCCCCTTACCCTCAGGTCCCCGTTGGTGATGTGTGAGGCTGGGAATGAGGCGTAGAGTGGCTCTTTTCTGTATATCTTAATGATGCTTCTGTCCTGGATGTCACTGGAGGGAAAAGCAGAGCCTGAGCATCCCAGCCAGGCACCCCTGAAAGTCCCAGCACTGCACCCACACCTCCCCATTTCCCGCTTCATCCCACCCGAGCGCTCCCTCCCTCCTCACCGGACATCCTCCAGCTCGTAGAAGACGTTTCGGGACTCGTCCTTGATGAGGATGGCGGTGTTGGGAGACTTGAGCATGCCCATGGTGAGCTTCTGGGGGAACATGTGCACGATGAGGGCGTGCAGGGTGTCCATGCTGCTGATCTCGTGCGTGATGTGCACGCGCCTCGTCTCGTCCCCGAACTGCAGGAAAAGGACCCCTGGAAGCGGAGGGAGCAGAGGGTGGGGGGGTGAGGTGAGGGAGCCAGGCCCTGTCCCGGCACCACGCAGGGGGTGTTGGGTGCCAGGCGGGTACCTGGAGATCGCAGCTTGGTCTGGCTGGTGGAGCGGGACAGGGGCAAGCTCTGCCGGAACCGGTTCATCCTGTTGAACCCCAAGGGCAGCTCCGCTTCCGACATCGTTTCCAGGGACTCGGCCGAGGCGAAGGAGAGCTTGGCTTGGTCGGCCAAGCCAGGCTGGGAGCCCTGGGAGTGTCGGGAGCTCCTGGTCTGGAAAGGGAGAGGGAAGAGGAGGGTGGGTATCCCAGCCCTGGTCTGCTCCCCTGGATGTGGTGGGTGCTGCTCCCACCTTTCTATGGAAGGCAGCGCTGGGATGGAGAGGTCTGTGGGAATCATGGAATCATGGCATATCCCGAGTTGGAAGGGACCCCCAAAGATCATCAGCTCCAACTCCTGGCCCTGCGCAGAACACCCCCAAAAATCCCACCACGTGCCTGAGGATGAGGCTGAGCCGCGTCCAGGGACGCTCCATCCCGGATTCCCACCGAGTTCGGGCCCTGGTGTGATCCAGGGGCCAGCTCGGAGCCTCCTCCACCTCCTGCTCTCAGCACAGACCCCCCACTCCCGGCACAAAGCCTCCCAGTGCCATCCCAGTGCCTCTGAGCTCCCGCACCAGCAACCACTGGAACAACCCTGGCCGTGGCTGCCGGAGCCGGAGCCAGGACAGGCGTGCGAGCTCCGGAATAACCTTCGCAATTACCAGAGGTTACACATCCATTACACCAATGAAGCGGCTCCTGGGAAGCATAAACGCCTGGAATTGTTCTGGAAGCAAAGCAGCAGCGAGGTTTATGGCCGTGTGAGCCGGGGGAAAGCGGCGGATTGGGGGTTTGCAGAGGGGAAAAATTTAATTCACCAGGAGCCCCCATTTCCCCAGGGTGTTCACCGCAGGGAAGTTCACGCTCCGGATGGGGATTTTCGGCACAAACATCCCCCAGATGTGTGTCTGGGCCCCCTTGGCACGGGTGCCCGCCGCTAAAACACCAGGCTTGATTTCCCAGACGCGTGTTTAACATTGGCAAATCAAACTGAGGGAACAAACAGCTCCTGGGGTGTGGAAAAGGTGGCCCTGGAAGGGACAACAGCTCTATTTTAAGACTGGAAAGGGGGGGAAAAAAGAATCAATATGATATGATAACAGCCATCATCATCATTTAAATTAGACATTAATTGGAAGATTTAATTAATCCTGCGAGGCGGGGTTTTGGAGGACTTGAAATGTTCTCGCTGGAGCTAATTGCTGGAAAATTGACTGCTTAGTTTCGTTGTTGTTGTTGTTTTAGCACAAAGGGCGCTGGCAGCGCAGATGCTCCAGTCTGACATCAAGGAGAGGATGCAGGGATGGACCCAGGCAGGACCAGCACATCCCCCACCCCCCGAGGGTCCCCAGCAGGGGAGGGAGCTGCAGGAGCAGGAGGAGATGGACAGACCCCCGCCAATCCTCTCCCTCATGCTCGTGGCACGGAGGTCTTTGGGGTGTAGCAGCTGGTTTTTGGGGCTCCCCACCCTTGCACACCCTTTAGGGCTGGTGGGTGCCCATCTCCAGGCATTTGCTCCGGGTTTGGGGTGCTGTGGCCCAGCTCCCAGACCCAGGGATGGATCCCTGGCCACAGGGAAGAGCAGGGATGTGGCTGGGATGCGACCAACACTGCCAGGGCTGCACCTCAGCCTGGCTTTGCCCTCTTGGATCCTTCCTGTGCTCCGTGCCAGAGGGGTCTCACCCTGCCCTGTATCCATCCATCCATCCATCCATCCATCCATCCATCCATCCATCCATCCATCCATCCCTTCCTTCCACTTCCCACCCCTAAATACTCCCCAGTCCCAATGCCCTGGGGTCCCTACGGCCCCTATAACACCACACCCCAATGCCCTGGGGTCCCTCCAGCCTGTGGGACACCTGCAGGAACAGGTGACAGGGAGAACTTCCCTGCTCCAGGTGAGCCCAGACCCCTCCTGCCCCTGCCCTGCAGGAGCCGCTGACCTCAGGTAATTAAGCTCATCTGCCGGAGATAATTATGGCATCAGTCAAACAACAACAACAACAAAAAAGGAAGAAAACAGGCAGGATGGAAGTTAATGGATTTTTAGCCCGGAAGGGACCGTTCTGGCCTGATGCTCACACAATGTGCTCCCCCAGCCCGAGCAGGAAGCAGCAGCCCCCCGAAACTGTTGCTGGCACCGGGGTAGAGCCACACACCCCTCCTCCCCAGTGCCCCTCACTCAGGGCACCCCTGTAGGTACAGGACCCTCCACAGCCAGGCACGGGACCCTCGTGCAGCCCAGCGTGCTGGGAAGCTGGAAAGGGCAGGTCCTGCAGTGGGGGGGACACAATTCCAAGTGCTCTGGGCAGTGGGGGGGTCCCTGCCATGTTTTGCCTGGGGGAGCAGGACCCAGAGCAGGGCTGGGAAGCCGAGATGCCCACGGAGGGGACAGCGGTGGCTGCTCCGACCTTGGCCTCCAGCAGCCCATTAACGAGCCACCTCGCAGGGGATTGGAGGTTTTATTGCTCTGCCTCGCTAATGATTTCTCCTGCTCTCAGATGATGCATTAACTGACAGATCAGCCCCCTCACATCCTGCCTCCCGTCCCTGCCGGCGGCTCGGCAGCTCTCAGCACCCCTGGGGGGGCTCTGCTGCCCCCCAGCCCCTCCCACAGCACCCACAGCCCCTCCCTGTCACAGTCACCGAGGCCGTGGCTCATCCCAAACACGCTGGGACAGGGCCCCTTCAGGCACCTCCATCCATCCCCGTGGAGTCTAAAATGACTCCACACCCACAAGAGCCCAACACTCCCTGTGGGATCTGAAACCCTCCCCCCTGCGGTGGCAGGGAGGGGGTGGAGGGGAGGGGACACAGCCCCTCTGCTTGTTGTCCCCCGAGCTGCAGAGATCCCACGCTGGGAAATGACCCATTTCCTGCTGAACCAGCATTTACAGAGGGTTAAATGATCCCTGGCAGCAGCATCGACCCCAAACCCGAGATCCTGGAGCTGCCCCCACCAGCGTGGGAAGCAGGGAATGCACGGAAGGGGAGGTGAAGGAGGGCAGCCACCACCCAAAGCTAAACAAAAGCCACCCAGAGCACAACAAAAGCCACCCAAGGCCACGGGACGAGGGTGCAGAAGGTCCCTCCCAGGGCAGAGGGGGTGAGAGGGTGGGTGGGCGATGGGCACCCAAAGGTCAGGTGCCCACAGCCCACCCCGGGGAGCAAACCTGCTCGTTTCCTGCCGGGGACTGAACCCCCTGGAAGCATCCAGCATTCCAGAGGGGAGGGAATCACGTTGGAGCAGCAAAGCTTTACACCCTGGGAGTGCCCACGGGTGCTGTCGTGGTGACTGTCCAAGTGAAAACCCTCTCCCAAAGCTCCCATCTCCCCCCCCAGCCCCTCTGGAGAAGGCAGGGGGAAGATTCCCCCACTCTGGTGGGGACAGGAGCATCCCCAGCTCCCCCACTGCCTCCCTGGGAGCCTTATATAAAAGAGGTGGGACGGGGAACGGAGGGATACTCGGGTGGGTTTTTTTGTCTTTTATCTCCCCAGAGCTAAAAAAAGCTACAATTAAGTGATTCTTTTAGCTCCTAAAACCCCCAACAATCCCTTTTACTGTCAGTGCAGAAGCAGCTTCATTATATCTGCCTGGCTAGATAAGGATGCTCCTCTCCCCATCTCCGCCTCTCCCCTCTCCTTGTCCTCATCCTCCCTCCATTCCTCCACACCCCTCCTGAACATTTCCCTCCCCAGCTTCCAGGGCTCCATTCTCAGAGCTGGAGGGAACCACCAGGGTGGCAGCAGTTTTTGAGGAGTCTGGGTGAGGATTGGGGTCACCCCTCTGGATCCAGCAGTGATGGACACCGCGGTCATCGGGAGCTGCCGGATCCGGATGGAGGGAGGGAGAGGTCAGGAGAGGAGCACAGGGACCAGGGGCACAGAGGAGAGCTGGCAGAAAGAGGGTGGAAGGGCACAGGAGCAGCTCTGGACCTCCCACAGGCCACTTCAAAGAAGATAGGAGGCAAAAAAAAAACCAAAACAAAACAACAAAGCGTGGAAAAAATGCGTGGGGAAAGGACCCTGCCCTGGGATGGAGCAGCTGTTCCTGTACAACACTCCAAGCCTGCAGAGCTCATTAATATCTGCACTGTTCCTAAGCCAGGCAGGAGGGCTGACCCTGCCAAGGGACCCTCGGGGAGGGGGCACAGGGTCTGTCCCAGTGGATCCTCCACAGCCCTTCAGGGCTGGTCCTGCCTGACCCTCGCACA